CACACACACACACACACACACACACACACACACACACACACTCTCACAAAAACAAGTAAGGCAATGTATATTCCCACGCTACAGCGTCAGATTCATTCGATACCTAAGAAAATTTAGGGGGGAGGGCCATACTGCGCTTGGGAATGCACGGTTGTATCGAACGTTCGCGGACCGATTCCACCGGTGATAGATTTTGCTGGAAATGCAAGGGGGTGGGGGGAGGGGGATTGTGCGCCCACTTTTTTTTTTCCCGATGAGCCGCCGCATAGCCTTGCACCTCGTTCGGGGAAGGCTCTAGAATATTCCCGGGCTGCACAAAACGGTGCGGGCGGCGTCTGGGAGAAGGGGCGATAGGAGTGGCGTGGGTGGGGGCTGGCGTGACCAATGTCCGAATTCAAGTACATAGTAGGCAGGAGGGCGAGGACGACAAACATGACCAAGATGAGAGGCGAGAGGCGGGGAAGCAGGGTGAGGAGGGAGGCAAAGAGGACACAGCAGGAGTTGCAGGAAGGAAGGGAGGAGGAGGGACGACATAACGAGTGGGGGCAGAAGGATGGGGAACGAGAAGGAGGAGGAGGAAAACAAACACAAATAGGAGGAGAGGGACGTGGAGGAGGAGGAGCGTCGTGGGAGGACGGACGACATAATGAGTGGGAGTAGGAGGATGACGAAGGATGGGGAGGGGGAGGACGACGAACACAAATAGGAGGAAAAGGAGGTGACGAACGCGATGAGGAGGGAGGTGGAGAGAATGCAACACAAGTGGGAGGACTCGAAGGGATGGGAGGGGGAGGGAGGGCATAGCAACGGGGAACAGGATAATGGGGAAGGAGACGGAGGACAACGAACACGAAGAGGAGGAGAAGCGGTAGGAGGAGGAGTATGGTGAGGAGGTAGAGGAGAGACGGCATAGCGAGCGGGAGCAACAGGAAGGATGAGGAGGGGGAGGACGTCGAAAACGAACAGGAGGAGAAGTGGGAGGAGGAGGAAGAGCACGATAAGGGGGGAGAGGACACAGCAAGGAGTGGGAGGACGGACTGGAGGACAAGGGACGACATAACTTAACCAGCGGGAGCGGGCGGATGGGGACGGGTGAAGGGGGTGAGGACAATGAACACGAACACGAATACGGTCATGCTTTTTTCATGGAGGTGTGTAGAGCGAACATGACAACACACACATATGACAATGACGAGGATAAGGATAACACCAGAAGAGGACGATGGTCGAGACGACGGAGGGACGATGATGGTGGAGGGAGATGAGTGAGGGCAACGATGGGAGGACCAAAAGGTAGGAGGGAACACTCATGTTTTTTTTTTTGTGGAAATGACAATTGGTGGGCAGACAAGTGGACAAGGATTTTTTTTTTTTTTTTTTTTTTTTTTAAGAGGGTTGTGGCGCGTTCTGTTGCAGTGCAACACAGAGGCAACACTGGAGAAGTCGGGTAAGCAAGCTTACCCGTATGACCACTCCGTGACCCAGATAAATTAATTTAATATCGTGTGGTCCGATGGACCTCGGATCAGATAAAACAATTTCGCAATTGTGGAATGATTTATTTTTCATTTTTTTCTGCCATTTTCTCAACGACTTGTAGGGAGCGATCCGTTGTCGAGCGCATCGGCTTCTGCCTTTTTCGCAAAGACGAGAGCCTTCTTGACCATATCACGCAAGAGTACAACAAAACAGAACAAGAGATAACTTGAGAACGATACTTGACAACTCTATGAACCGCCAAACGACCACAGTTGCGTCGTCCCTTCGTCGCTTTAGCCGGGTGCGCCAGTTGTACATCACGCGGTCCCCTACGCCAGCATAGGTTCTCGCGGGGCATTAACTTTCTTCCCTAAGGGGTTGTCACCATCCTTAGGGGCGTATCCCTACCGAGCTAATGACCCACATGCGAAAGTTTTTAAATGCAATCGCAAAGGTAGATCAGCTGAGGGCGTTTGCTTGTTCGTTATAGTATAGATACGCTTGGTCAATGCCGAGTGGACCCGAACGCCCTTCGTTCCTAGGGCGCTGATCTCCTAGGTACGGAGCAAACGTCGGTCGACTAGGACGGTCTCAACCAAGCGTGAAACCCAACATTAATCCTGATCCCTTTTGTACATAGCCAAGCGAAAGTTACAACAACCACATATAATTACATCAAAAGAAATCGACCGTAGTGAACAGGAACATATCCAATCTGAAATGATAACTGAGAGAATCCAAATTTTCATTTGATACATCCAATATCACAAGATCAAAATAAAATTCGACCACCCTTGGTCAAACTCTACAAAACAGTCATACAACCGTCAACAAGGAGTTGGATACTGACAATAGCATTGATGTAGCCGACAAGGTAGTCGGCCGCCTTAATCTTGACTTGATGAGACGCGTTGCCAAAGTCATTCATTGCAGCCTACAATTGACTTAAGATTCGACACACATACATGTCCTCATACACTTTCAATCTTTTTTAGATGACAAGTTGCTTTGTGGTTGATTCTTGATAAGTGGCATTGCTTGAAGTGTTGCATGCCTCTTCCTCTAGGAAGTGGTCTGAGGTACTTCTCCTCGCCTGAGCACAAGACTCGGATCTCAAAAGTTGGGCCGTCTCCACCAAATCGACAAAGTACACCCCCCGTAAAACGATCCATTCTGGGTCGATAATAGGGCCGACTCCTAAAGCAACGAACCCCCGCCCCAGATTCTTCATAGAGGGAGAACATATCCACCCCAATTAGGTTTCATTTTTTCTTTTTTTTCCTAAGTTCAAGGTAATTTTGACGAAAAGAATTAGAAGGAGATAGAGAATAAGAATCACTTGAACATGTACAGGTAGATAAGGTCATTCGGGATAGAATGGGTCAGCCTCGAGAAAAAAACTAAGTATTTTTGACCTTATCTGCTTTATTTCAATCGAATTCATTTTACAACATGCACTGGATTAATATTATTCAAAACAACAGGTCCCTTTTTGACATGCAGGCAGGTGAGAAGAAAAAAAAGACAATCCTTTCCATTTTTCTCAAATAGGCATAATCAATCTCCTTTGCAAGCATTCTTCTACCTACCTGCACATCAAGCAAAGAAAACAAGTTGAAAAAAAAAACAATACCATCCCAAACTCGAGTCAGACATTTTCAT